GGAGTAAGGCATGAGGATGGCAAATTTGAGCCCAGCCTGGGCAATTTAGGGAGACACTACCTAAACAGGGGGGAGCTGGGCATGTAGTTCAGTATGAAGGCCTGGATCCTGGATCCAGTCTCCAATACCATCACCCTACCACCACCACAACAAACAAACAAACAGAAAAGTAAAGATGAAAAAGGAACAAAACAAAGATAGTACAAATAGAATATAGCATATATAAGGATATAGCAAAGTGGCAGACTTAAATTCAACTTCCTGAATAATCACATTAAGTGAAAATTATCCAAACACTCTAAAATATAGAGACTGTTAGGCTGAACAAAAGAGCAAGACCCAAGCAGGGTATGGTGGTGCACATGGGTAATCCCAGCACTCTGAAGGCTGAGGCAAGAAGATTGATACAAGTTTGAGGCCAGCCTGGGCTAAATAGTGAGTTTAAGTCCAGCCTGAACTATAGAGTGAGAGCCCCCCCCCCCCGCACAAAGGCAAGTCCCAGCTGTAGGCTCTCTGTAGAATCTCCCTTAAGTGAATAGACACAGAGAGATGAAAGGTAAAAGGATGTAATGGTATATTCTTCAAACACTAATAATAAGAAAGCTATATTAAAGACAGACAAACACTATTAGAAGGTATAATGAGAGAAATATCACAATGTAAAAGGGCCAGTTTATCATAAAAACACCTAGCAGAATTAAAAAATATATGAAGCAAAAATAGATAGAACTCAAAGTTGAAAGGAAAAGTAGACTAGTCCACAAGTATACTTGCAGATTTAACCTTTCCCTTTCAATAATTAATAGAGAGTCAGGAGGGACATGGAAGACTTCAATGACATTATCAATCAGTTTGATCAGTTAGCATTTATAGAACTCTGCACCCTCAAACTGCAGACTAGACTTTTGCTTCAAGTGCATTCACATGGAATATTCACTTAAGTAGACTACATGCTGGCCCATAAAACAGATCTCAAATTTAAAAGGACTCACATCACAGTGTGTTCTCTGACCACATGGAATTAAATTATGAATCAACAAAAATATCTAAAAATAGATAACTATCTGTCGTTGGAAGATTGAATTACTGTCTAGTGTCTTTTTTTGTTTTGTTTTGGTTTGGTTTTTTGAGACAGGGTCTCACTATGTAGTTGAGTCTGACCTGGAACTCACTATGTAGCCTAGGCTGGTCTCAAACTCACAGCGATCCTCCTGCCTCAGCTAAACCCTGTTTGTTTTTTTTTTAAATCCCCAAAACTAAAAACTAAAAGCTACTGGATAAACTCAATTCTGAAGTTTTTTGGGAGCATTAATTTTTTAAAAATAAAAACTTAAAAAATTTTTTTTTCAAGATAGGGTCTCATTATATAGTTGAAGCCATCCTTGAGCTCACTATGTAGCCCAGGCTGACCTCCAACTTGAGGCAATCCTCCTGCTTCAGCCTCCTGAGTGCTGGGATTACAGGCATGCATCACCACACCCGGCTAAAATTAAAACTTATTACAAAAGCATATTATGTAAATAGAGGACTGCACATTCCAAAAGTGTACAGTCTGATAGAGTTTTGTGACCCGCCCCCGCTATGTCATGGCCCAGATCAAGATGTGAAGTGTTACTTACAACTCAAGAAGCACCTTTTCCAGGGCTCTCCCCACCTTTCTTCAACGAAGGTCAGTGAGCATCTGACTTCTTTTGTCACAGACTAGTTTTGCCTGAAAAAATGAATGATTCTAATCATTCTCTTTTATGTGTTTTTTAACATTATATTTGTGAGATTTCTTGTTAGACAGTAAAATTCTATTTATTTATACTAGAGATTGAACCCAGTGGAGCTCTACTACTGAGCTACACTCCCAACCCCTTTGGTGTTTTATTTTGAGAGAAGGTCTCACTAAATTGCCCAGGCTGGCCTTGAACTTGGAATCTTTCTGCCTCAGCCAATGTTAAGAACTGGGATTACAGGTATGCATATTGTGTCTGGTTTGTTGCACTGTATTTAAATTTTTTTTTCAATTTCTGTGATGGATGGACCCTTGGGTTGGGTGGTATGTAGCTTTGAAAGTGGCCCCCAGTGATCTTTTCCCCCTGCCATTCGTGACCTTGTGTAATCCTCTTCTGTTGAGTGTAGGCCTGACCTCATGATCAATTTGTAATAAGTAGAATGTGGCAGAAGCAAAGGGATATCACTTCTGAGGTTAGGCTACAGAAGGAGAGTGGCTTCTGTTCGGGCGCTCGAGCCTGTTGCTCTCTTGGGCTGCTCACCCCCCGTGAAGCATGTCACCCTGAGGCAGCCTTCTGAGGAGGCTCCTGTGGTGAAACAAGAGCCAGAACAGCCGCATACTGCGTGAGCTTGGAAGCAGATTCAGCCGCCCCAGTCTTGAGATGACTGCGGGCCTCGCTGGCAACCTGACTGCGACATCAGGCCCTGCGAGTGTTAACATGCATACGTTACCCATTCATCCTTGTTCATCACCTGCCAAGTATAAAGTCATATCAATACCTCCAATTCCAGTTTAAGACTTCAGTTCCTCCCCCAGTCTTCTTGCATTCCACATATGTAGAATTCCTCTCAGTCACCAATAAGCCTGACTCTCATCTTCAGTAGTTTCCTTCTTTGTTCAGTCCCCTGTATGTGACCAATCTTGCAATCACATGGACTCCCTCCCTGGCCTGCTTTCTTCTTGACCCTGACAACATTTTTATCCTGGTTCTGGAGCCATCTCCTTGGCCAGTATCTGCCTTGGTTCTGTCTCCCCATGGCTGCCTTTTTCAGGAGATGGCAAGGAAGCGCAGGGAAGGAAGAGCAAGAGCTACTGTGACCTTCATTTGGCTCCTTGGTGAGAAGCCCAGGCCCTTATGAGACTGAGAGTTGGGCACCTCAAAACATTCTAGTGTATGGTTATTTATTTATTTTTTGTGTATGGTTATTTATTTGTCTATTGATTGATTGATTGTGTATGGTTATTTTAAAACTTAAAGTGACTAGTGTTTGCAGGCTAATTGCTCTTTAGTGAGAATAAAGGAAAAGGAATCAGCAGGAACAGATGTGGGAAACATGATGGGAGAGATAAACCATCACTGTTCTAGTGGGCCACGTGCAGAGCTCAGTTCCAGGCTGTTTTATAGGGACAGTGCTTCTGTTCTCATCAGTGCTCATGTCCAGGCACGTGCTTGCTGTAGGAGGGCTGCTTTGGTGGCAGTGGGAGTGGGAAGTGGCTTTTCAGTTCTGCTCTGGAAGGGAACGGACAATTTAGAATGGCTTTGGAATCCATTGGCCTCTCCAGATGCCCCGTGGTCAGGTTAGACTCCTCGGGCACCTTCAAACTGTAGCTGGGTCCTGGGCCCTGGGCTAGAGGTCGAATGGCCTCTGGAGGGCAGAAGAACTCTGTGCGATGCTTCCTCAGCTCTAACCTAATGACTTCCGTTGCCAGGGTATTTGTTAGTAAACTTCTGGGCTCCTTAACAGACCTACTGTTCCTCATAATTGGTCTCATACACTACAAAGAGAAAGAGTTTGATGTTCTGGAACCGAGCTCAGAAAAATTAAGTGACATTTATTCAATGCTATAAAATGAGACTTTAGTTCACAAATATAAACAGTTAAGAGCAATTAGCATGTGAGATAATGAAAAGATGGAAATAAAGTGTTTGTAGATGGGGAGGGGAGGAGGGGGTGAAGGGAGGGCAGGGGTAAGGGGAAAAATGAGAATCAAGACTTGTCATGTAGAGATCCCAACAATGAATGTAACTGTACTGTATCCCTAAAATGTACCAATAAACTCAATTAAAGCTGAAAAAAAAAGAGCAATTAGCAAGTTCATCAACTAGAATAATGCTAGCTACAATGATTTATTTGGTGTAGTCATTACTAATAGTCTGTAAAATATAGTTACCTGAATTTCAAAAAGTGGATAATAATTGCTCATGACCTGTCTTTCTGGCTGTGTAGACCTCAGCTGAGCGTGAGGATTCTCAGACTGCCCAGCTTTGTGGCCTGGAGACACCACTTACTAGACACGTGTCTTTGGACATATCACTTGCTTTTTCTGTGCTTTGGTTCTGTAAAGAGTTTACACCACAGGGGGTGATTATTTTTGTATTCAATATTTATATCATTAGTAATACTATTGGCATTATTTTCTGAGATTTACAGATCAGATAAAACAAATGAGTAATCTTAGTCACTAGGACCAACATTTTCATTCTAAGTGGTTAGAGTTACAGCAAAATAAAATCAAGAAGTAAGAATTTGATCTAGGCATGGTGGCATATCCTTGCAATTCCAACTACTTAGGAGGCTGAGGCAGGAGGATTGCAAGTTCTGAGATCAGCCTGGGCAACTTAATGAGGAAAAGGGCTGAGGGTGTAGGTCAGCTCTGTCTGAGTTCAATCCCACTACTGCCAAAATAAGTAAGTGAGTGAAAAAAGAAATATATGTATGTAAACATTCTGTAATTTTGGATGCCTATACCAGTTTGTGTATGAGGGATTTTTTTTTTTTGGTGTAAACTGACTTTATTTTTCAGAGCAGTTTTAGGTTCTGAGAAAACTGATTAGAAGTTACAGAGATTTTCCATATACCTTGTGTTCACATACAAGTGAAGCTTCCTTTATTATTGACATCCTGGACAAGAGTGGCACATTTGTTACAGTCAGTGAACCTACATGGGCACATCATCACACCAAATCCATAGTCTACAGTAGGGTTTACTCTTGGCATTGTTGTCTGTGGATGTGATGATGACTTACTCCTCAACACAGCATTTCCCCTATTTCCTCTGCTCTATCACCTCAGTCGTCTTCCCTCTTAGTTCTTTTGTATTTTTTTTTTTTCTGGTACCAGGAATAGAATTCAGGACCTTGCACTTTTGAGGCAGGTGTGGTGCCACTGAGTTAAATCCCCAGCTCTCTTTTGCATTAAAAAACTTTTTTTATGTCTTGACTCCTAATCAGTAACTGTTACATATCAAGAAACCAATCAATATTTTTTGAAATGAACAGGTGAAGGCTTCGATGAAAGAGAAAGAGAAGTTACAGGCCGTAAGCGGATCTAGAAATGAGGTGAGGGTGTGGACACAGTGGAGAAGGTAAGGTGAAGGAGGACAAAACAGAATAATGATTGGAGGAGTTGGGAATGGGAGCAGAATAAGCAAAAATGTGACTCTTTATTACAGTAATATCACTAGATTTCTAATATTTTGTAATAGACGAGAAAGACAAATGCCATGGTTTGTTCACTGTATGAATATCTTCTAAAAGATGAAGGTCAAGCTGGCTGAGGTGGTGCACTCCTGTAATCCCAGAACTTGGGAGATTGAGACAGGAGGTCTGCCGTGAGTTGGCAGGGCAGGTGGCAGCACAACTGAGCGAAATCCCTGGTCCTAACTGCCATGAGTTTGAGACCAGCCTGGGTGACATAGTGAGTTCAAGGCCAACCTGAATTACAGAGTGAGACCCTATCACAAACAAACCAACGAACAAACCAAAACCCAAAGCAACGAGCCCCCCCGCCAAAGAAGAATGAAGGTCAAGATTGGATGGGTGGAACAATGATCTGGAACATTTTCAGTGTTTGCAGAAGAAACTGGTGGTTAACCGGTGTAAGATGACCTAGAAGAATACACCAAGGGAGGAAGTAATAGGAAATGGGTTCTTTACATGGAGGGTGGGGCAGGAGACTCTAGGCTTAGAGTAGATCATAATTTTTGCATGATGCCTTATGAACTAAAATTGTTTTTTCAGATATATTATATAATTTTATTCTCATAACAACCACATAAAAACATACTGTTAGTGAAAATGAGTTTATTTGCATGCAAAAGCAATGTGCTTTTATGAAAAAGTTACAAATTATAGCTACAGAAAAGGAAAGAATAAAAGTCATTTTTGGGAGCATTATTGGGAATTGAACCTACTACCTTATACAAACATTTTATCACTGAACTATACCTTAGCCTGAAAATGATCACCCTTAAGGTCTTTATTGTTAATGTCTTGATGCTAGCTGCTCAGAGATTTTCTGTGCATATTTATTTTTATTTTTGTGGTATTGGAGGTTGAACCTGGGGTGCTTGTGTGAGCTATATTCCTAGCCCCTTTTTATTTATTTATTTGGGTCCTGTGGGTTGAACTCAGGACCTTATGTTTTCGAGGCAGGTATGGTGCCACTGAACTAACTGAACTGGCCCTGCCCCTTTTTATTTTGAACAGGGCCTCACTACGTCACTAAGTTGCCCAGGCTGGACTTCTACTTGTGAGCCTGCTGCCTCAGCCTCTCAGAGTGCTGGGATTACAAGCATGAACCACCATACCCAGCTATTTTATTTTTAAATAAAAGTGGGATCACACTGTATTTTAGCTTGCTTTTTAAATTTAGAGCATTGTGACATTGTGGACATCTTTCATGTCATTAAATTGTTTTTCTGAATCATTTACAACATAATGTATTATAATTATTTGCCAATTTATTTATTTACACTTTTATGTTTTTGGTACTGGGGATTGAACTCTGTCTGGTCCTTGCGCTTGCAAGGAAGGCGGCGGAACCACTGAGCTAAATCCCCAGCCCTTATTTGCCAATTTAAACTATTGAGATGAATATTCTCATCTTTAAAATTAGGAACTGAGGTAGAGGGGGCTGTGGATGACCCAGAGTGGTGGCAGTTCCTGGACACATCCAGGCCAACTCTCCAATCCACACATCTGCAGTCTTCTTCCAGGGATATAGTCGTGAGAGGACCTTACCTCCCAGATGAAATGATTGTCAGATTACCTCTATTGTGTCACTAGTTTGCTCTTTTTTATTGTTGAATAGCATTCTAAGGTAAGGGTATTCTACAATATGTTTATCCATTCCACAATATTTTCACCCATTCACCCATTGATGGACGTTAGGGTTGTTTCCAAACTTCAGGTAATTTAAGTAAAGCTGCCTACAAATCTTTGAGCAGACACATGTTTTCAGGTAAATATCTGAAAGTAGGATCACTGGGTTGCCTGTTAAGTGTATAGTTTACTATATAAGAGCTGGTCAAACTGTTTTGTAAATGAGTTGTATCATTTTGCATTTCTACTAGCAATGTATGAGAGCTCCAGTCATACACAGATTCTTTTGTGGGTTGTCAAAGAAAAAAATGCCTCCCCCACCAGGAATTGAATTCAGGACCTTGCGTTTGCCAGGCAGGTGTGATGCCACTGAGCTAAATCCCCAGTTCAGCAGCTCTGCTTTAAAGGAAATAAGAAACATGTTTATTCTGAGTTAGATATGAGAGACCATGATCCAGGAGTACAGATTCAAGTTATCCTGAATGACATGTTCCATTGTGGAAGAGGCTATATGGACTTTTACATTCACAGAACAAAAGAAACTCATAAATAAATATTTTTGCCAATTGGTGGGAGGACCAGGAGGGCTGGTCACAACAAAGCTGGGAGGCCTCTTCTGTAGGTCTCTGTCGTAGTTGCTTTTCTTATTGCTGAGACAAAATACCCAACACTCAAAGTTAAAGGAAGAAAGGTTTATTTTGGCTCACAGTTTGTAGAAGTTTCAGTCCATAGTCAGCTGGCTTCAAGTCAGGGTAGCAAGGCGGAAGGGCTTTGTGGAGGAGGAATAGTCCATGACAAAGCAGGGCAGGCAGGAGGCAGCCGGCAGTAAAGTAAAATGCAGCAAGCAACAGCAGAAGCCCCCTTTCTGTTCCTTATATTCTATTGAGTAGTCAGGACTCACAATGAGGGTGGGGCTTCCTTAATCCTAGGATCACACCATTAAACCCAGCATCACATCCTTAATTCCATCATCACACAGCCTAGATTCAGCCAGCTCTGAAAAGCCCCACCTGTGACTTCATGAGGCTTTGAGAGACAGAGAGGGAGAGAGGGACAGAGAGAGAGAGAGAGAGAGAGAGAGATTTGGATACAAGCCATAACAGTCTTACATGTTGTGCTGTAGCATTGTATTGGTGGAGACTAGAGGTCTGGTAAGCTTACCTATATATTTCAAGAAGTTTATCTACCAGTACATCAGATACAAAAGTTATAGTAAATGTTAAGGGGCCTAATAGTCCAGGATAATTTTGGCTCTGGACCTGTAATATTCCATTTCTTCACAGTTGCAATATTCTAGTCAGCCAAGATTAGGTAGTCTTTGGAGAACATCAGTGCACAGCTCCTCCTGTTGGCCAAGCAGCCACTCTGTGTGTGCAGAGGCCAAATGTTGTTTAATGTCTCACAGAGCTAGGAAGCCTCATTCCTTGGATCTAATAAAGATGAGGTGAGTAGGGAAGAAAGTAGTCTTAGGAAGAGGGAAAGAGTTGTTAAAGCAGTTAAAAAAAGCTCCTGGATCATGATTAGCCATCCGGATTGGCTTCTGAGCTTTTATGTCCTTTGCATTTAACGCAAAATTTACATACAACATCATAGGGGTATTATACCTAAAGTTTTGATAACCAAGAACATAATATAGCCTGAAGTAATAAAAGTAGTAGATTAAGGAAATAGACACTCTCAGCAACTAAACATCTTCTGTAGCTATCATCGTAGTCTTTAATCAGACTGACAGTGTTTCTTCAGTATGAAATATGTTATTATCTTTCAATTCTAATCTCACTTTTGGCCTCTCTGATACCAAGGCTATCACCTTGTGTAGAGTGGCAGTGGCTCCTCCTCCTCCTCCTCCTCCTCCTCTTTTTCTTAGAGGTACTATGGATTGGATTCAGGGTCTCATACGTGTTAGGGAAGTGCTGTAGCACTGGGCTACATCCCCAGACTTCAAAAAATTGTTCAATTTTGAGACTGGGTGTTGCCCAGGCTGGCCTTGAACTTGTGATCTTCCCACCTCAGCCTCCCAAGTAGCTGGGATTACAGGTGTGTGCCACCATGCCTGACTTGCTTGTTTCAATTCTAAGAGACATTTGATAATTAATGTCCAATTGTTAATAATTTAATTTGCCCTATTAATATTGCACCAGATTTCAGTCTGGAGATATAATTGGGTAGTCACCTTATAGAAAAAGTTAGGCTATACATAGTATTCTTGTATTTTTTAAATGAAATTTGTCTCTTCCTCACATACCAAGTATTGTAATAGGAGCAGAGACAAATGATCAAACTTAGGAGAAATTAAGATTATATAGATTTTTAATTTAATTTTATTTTATTATTTTTTTTTGAGACAGGGTCTCACTATGTAGTGAGACTGACCTGGAACTCACTATGTAGCTCAGGCTGGTCTCGAACTCACAGCGATCCTCGTGCCTCAGCCTCCCGAGTGCTGGGATTACAGGCATGCGCCACCACCCCTGGCTCCATAAAACTTTCATAGGTCTTTAACTCTCACTTTTGTGTTAAGAAACTTTAGCTATTTTCTCATAGTTACTTTAGATTCTCTGTATCAACCTTGTCAATAATTCCATTCAGTTAAAGTGTAGTCTCTTTTTCATCTTTGAATTCAGGTGCAGTCTTGCATTGTTTGCCTAGTATTTTTTCTTCCCATTTTTAAATACATAATTTTGTTTCAAAAGAATTTCTCGTCCTTTTCTATATTTTTGAAATAACATTCCCTTTATATGTCCTATTTTTTGAAAGTGAATTCTTTATAAGGAATATCTTTCTTGATTTATAGCAGATTCAGTTTGTCATAGAATTCTTAGTTCAGTACCTACACCTCCAGCAAGGTCTCTTTTGGCTTTAGTATCTGGCTAATTCTGATAAGTTCATGATGAATGTTATTGCCCCAGAGATGAATTACTTTTGTACAATTTGTGTAAAGTAGTCAATCCAGAATTGTTGAGTATCTTATGCAAGTCAATAGAACTGATGAGGTAGGCAGAAGTCTGAGGATGCCACAAAGCTTTTCAGGCCTGATGGTAATAGTATTTATATAATCTAGAATCTGAGCTTATCGTACCATTCCTATGAATTGGAGTTCATGTCAGTGATAGGCCCCATCTGTGGGGTAAGCAGCCATGCTTACAGAGCACATGCAGATGGTTGTCAGGACAGGTTATACTGTGGCAGGACATATCAGCAGTGGTAATAAATTGTCCACCATATAGAGGATTTGTCATATCTATTATCGCCAATATCAATAACAATATATTGTAGTATCAAAATGATTTGATCCAGTTAATATTCTTCTATTTTCTTTCAAAGAAAGACATTCTACTGTTTTGGACCTAAAATAAAAGTATCTCAAAAAGCAAGTTCCTTCTGGCAGATGTAAAATAAGACTCTGCCAGTCTTTTTTTTTGGTTGAGGGGTACTGGGGATTGAACTTAGGATCTTGTACTTGTGAGGCAGGCAGCAGCACCACCGAGCTAAATCCCCAGCCCTACTCTGACAGTCTTAAACCTGGTATTAAAAAAAAAAAAAAATCAAAATAGTGTCAAATAATGAGGGAATTTGTTTTCTGGGGTGGTATAAAATTGAATCTTTCCAAGTATGAAAACTTGGTTTAAGGACGATAAGAGGTTTGGGTAAGCAAACAGATGTTGCTTTCTCTCCAAATACTTCCTCCTTCCTTTAATTTTCCTGAAAATTGCAACCTTTTACACGAACCGATGGGATCTATATTTTGGGTCGTTTACCACATCTGAAAGTAGCTTCCTTAGCTCTCACTTTGAGGCCAGTTCCCTTCCACTGTATCTCAGGGTTATACTGCATGTTTACAGAATGATTGCAAGTGGGTTCAAGATACTGAGTGATGGCCCTTACGCATGTCTCCATGGATGAGCTAGTTAAATTCCTTCTGACTCAGGCATCAGTGCAGTTTTTGGGACTTCCCTATGAGGCCCCTGCATGCCCTGGGAAGATTCCCTTGACACCTCTACCCTGCTGGGCTAGAGGGAGTAGCTGCCTCATTTCTATGGAACGTTTATAAAAGGTAGTCAGTCATAGGACTTCTATCCTAAAAGGGGGAAGGCAGCAGTGGTCAGCAGAAAGAGACAAAAACCTGAAAAGGCAAATTTAGATAATGGAAGAGTGGCTGGAGGAACAAACAAATGTTCTGACAAAGGTTTTGAAACAATAAAGGATATTCAGATTAACCAGCTCAGAATAAACCAAGGACTGTCATCCAAGCAAAGGGGGGGTCCTGCTGAGAAGGACTCACCAATGTCCACCAAGGAGGTGATCAGGCAGTGGGCATGAAGGGCCTGTGCCTGTGCCTGGCACTGATCCAGGCATCTTCCATGGTGAGAGTGGGCTGTCTCCCGTGCTCACATTGGTCTGGAAAATAGTTGGTGTAAAATAACAACTCTGAGCCAGGCATTGTGGTGAATATCTGTATTCCCAGCATTTGAGAGGCTGAGGCAGGAGGATTGCCACAAGTTAGAGGCCAGCCTTAATTACACAGTGAGACCCTTTCTCAGAAACAAACAAACAAACAAACAAACAAACAAAACCCCTCCGCTGTAAAGGAAATAAGGGAAAAAATCTGGTCAAAATAAGAGTGCCCCTGGCCTGGGAACATGGATTCAAGTTATCCTCAATGATGTGTTCTGCCATAGAAGAGGTTACATGAACTTTTGTAGTTACAGACAAAAAGAAGGTCACAAATTGGGCCGGGGATTTGGCTCAGCGGTTCCGCTGCCTGCTCGCAAGCTCAAGGGCCGGAGTTTGATTCCCTGGTACAAAAAAAAAAAAAAAAAAAAGTCACAAATCAACACACTTACCAATTACCTCACAGGTAGGTGGGCTACACAAAGATGGGGGAAATGTGGGGAAATTTCTTCTGCAGGCTATTTATGTATTGGGTTTGCAGCATTCTTAGCTTTAGGACTGGTGGAGGCTCTCAAGATCTCCGAGCTTAATGATATATTCTGAGTTTATCAGTTATGGGAATGGTAGGTCTGATACAAAAGTTGAGGTAAATAGTTATTAAAAGTCCTAAAGTAGCACGGGATAATTTTGACTCTGGACCTCCAACTTTCCGTCTTGCAACAATCACAGTGTTCAGGTCAGCTGGGGTCAAGCAGTCTATGGAATCTTTAATACAGAGGCAGCTTCTTCAGATACTCTCAGTTCTGAGGGTTTTTCACGAACACACACACATTCTCAGTTTACCTTCCTCACCATCCAGGACCATTCTGGGAGGATCTTGTTTTACTATGGGATCCCCGGAAAAGTCCTGATAATCTGTTTCAGTTATTCCTTCTAAGTGTACAACAGACCCTCCCATTAGGAAATTTGTCTTCTTCGGGAGCAGAGAATGCTGAATCCCCATTTCTTCTATCTTCGACCATTACTCATCTCTTCTCTCATTTCTCTTTACCCTCTTTATTAAGATGACGAGAATGAACAACTTTGGCAATTGACCAGTCACTAGTACAACGATTTTATCTTTCACTGAGGTTTTAAGTTAAAAATGAGTAGAATACATTTCCATGTTTCTCTTACTCATTCTTAAGTTTTTCTCTACCTGTTTAGTTTGTTGACAAAAGCATTTCCTTGGGGTTTATCTTTCCTTCCAGTCTGACTCTGGTTGGAAACTTTTCCTCTTCTTCCCAGTCCCAGCCACGTGTCTCTCAGGTGTCTCTCTGCTGTCTGCCTTCAGGGCTGGGGGAGCATCTGCCTGCATCAGCTGCTTGCGCAGAGAGGACAAAGCCTGAGCTCATTCTGTGGCCTCCCTGAGTGCCGAGCTTTTGCTTCCGCCCTCCATGTGTCGAAGAAAGAGAAGGCTACATGGTTTTCTGACTGTTTGTGTCCAGGAAGGGCCCAGTGATCATTAAAGCCCTCCAGCTTCTCTTATCCAACCAGAAGGCGGTATTCATTTCCACTTGAATAGAGGCATGAAACTCTTTTATACTGGAGCTGGCTATTTTGCAGAAAACAAAGAAGTTATACATTAGCATGGGGTAACTGGCTTTTCTCACTAGCTATCTAACAATGACTAGAGACAATGGTTTAATTATAAGTTACCAGTTTAGAGATGCATAGTTCTACACAATCCGAACAAAATTTGACCGTTCCTTTAGAAGACTTAAACTGGTCTGTGGACCTAATGAAGAGCCTACTTTGTCCTTTTCACTTTCTCACGGCTCCCAAAGCTCTTCCGCTTATTTCAGCCTCTTGTCTTTGCCAAAGCTGTTCCCACAGCCTGGGGTGCCTTCCCTCCTTTCTTTTGCTTATCTATTATTTACTTCTCATTCAAGGCTCAGTTCAGGCACTCTCCCCTTTATGAAGGTTTTGTTTTTGGTTTTGCAACTGCAGCCTATTCTGAGCTCTGCTCTTTATGAACACTCATTGCTAGCACCACCTGATTTAACTCAGATTGCATGTGTCATTTCTTCAAAGAACAGAAATGAGCTCTTTGAGTAATCTACTCATTCTTGTATCCCAGCACTTAATACAGGTCCTGGCAACATGAAGTTTTGCTGAACTTATGAGTGAATGAATGTTAGACATGTGATGGGCACTCAATAAATATTGTTAATTAATTGATTGATAGTGAGGCTATTATGGGAGTTGCTAGGTAACCTAGCTCTCAGTATCACCATTTTAGAGCTTGTCAGTATTGTTTGCGGAACAATAGTTTCAGTTAGAAATTACACCTCTCTCACCCACCATATGTTTTTGCACGGTTGACTCCTATTTCCCCTTTTCCTTTGAACAGGTAGATGATCTTAAAGAAGGAGGAAGATAAGAAGGGATAAATAAACAACTGGGAAATATTTACAAATATTTTATTGTCTCGGTGATGACTATATCCCGTTCCACAGTTTGGGATTATATTCCATAGTGACAACATGAAAGTTGTGGAAAAAACGGTGACCAAGCAGGCAAGGTTTCGTATACATATAGTTGGTAAACACATCTGAGTATGGGGCCTGTTTCCAAGGATTATGGGGCAGTTTTGACCAACACCCCCACACTACCCTCTTGAGTCAGTGACATTGCACCCAGAGGGAATATCCTACCTGGATGTTATTTCTGGACTCAGGATTTAGGGAGAGAACCCATACTCATGTCTTAATGTGTCTTCTCAATGGCCAATTCTCTTTCTGCTTCTCCTGGGCATTTCTCTAGGTCAGACAATTGTGGACAGAGAAAGAAACAAAGCGATAGCCTCTCTGTACTCCTTGGGGTCCTGCCGCCAGCCCCATGAAGATTGTTCCTCCTGGTGGAGGAACTAGCAGGGCTTTTCCTTGAGATTTCCTCTCCACATTGTTGAGATGATAATAGTAGAAGTACAGTTATAGATCTCTGGGAAACAAGCTAAAAATGATGAATACACTTATTTATTAGAACTTTGTGATGTATTTTTTTGAGAAAACAAAACTCTGAAGGATAAAGTAGGTAATCACATGTAAATATAGACAAAGGGGACCCTATTGTCCTAGCTGGTACTCTACATGATCAGAGAAACTTCTCTAGTAGCCAACTATAGAAATGATCCCTGAAAGTATAGCCTTCTATTGTCTTATCTGTAGGTAGCAATAGGACCACAAAATAATAATAACTGTATTAGCTTTCTCATTGCTGAGACACAATACCCAATACACATAACTTAAAATAGGAGAAGTTTAATTTGGTTACAGTTTTGGGGGTTTTGTACACTGTCAGCAGAAATATCATTGTGGAAGGGGATAGCAGAGCAAAGATGCTTAATCCATGGTGGCTATCGAACAGAGCAGGGGAGTGGTGCCAGAGATCAGGGGAGGAACCACGTACTGTACCCAAGGTCATACCTCTGTGACACACCCAGACACACCAAGAAGTGTGCGTTACTAATCTGCTAATTTTTTCTTCATCCAATTAAGTTGAAATATCAGGATTAATGGTCATAAAAACCAACCAAATAAACAAATGTGTTTGTAGCTTGGTGTCCACCATGCAGTAGCCATCTACTGAGAGAGTACCAACTTTATGCTATACCTCAAGCAAAACCCTATCATTAGAAAGTGTACAGCGAGGTGGGGATAGGAAAGGATTAGTTTTAAATTTGAAGTTCTGTAAGTTAAACGAATAGATATTGAGGTTGAAAATTACAGGGTAAGAGGACCTATCTAGAGTGGTCATGGAAAGCTTCCCTGGAGAATGATACTTAAATTGAAAGTTAAAGAGTGAGCTGAACTCATTCTAGGCAGAACTAGGGAAAAAGCACTCTGTAGTGGAAGAGCATGTCAAAGGCTGTAAGTGAGGGGAAAGTATAGAGTGTCTCAGAACCAGGAAGGAGGTTGATGTGGCTAGAGGGTAGTGGGTAAAGGATGAGGGGCAGGAGCTGCTGCTGGACATTGAGGCCTGGGCCAGGCAGAGCAGGCACTGGTGGAATCAACTGGAGAATCTCTCTTAGAAAATCAAATGACCTCAGAAGCACCAAAGAATATTTATGGTTAATATAAGGCATCTGAGTTTTATTTGAAGATCAAAGGAAACTATTAATCAGTTTTAGACAGAAAAGTGATTGGATCCAGGTATGTCTTATGAAGCTCACTCTGGCTTCTGTGTGGAGGATGTTTTGGAGATGAGCAAGAAAGGGCTAGGGAGGTAGCTGGGGAGGCCATCAAAACCATCTTTATTAGTTAGCTTCTTCATCACTGGGATAAAATAACTGATACTTGCAGGTTATAGGAAGAGAGGTTTCTTGTGGCTTACAGTTTTCAGAGAATTCAGTCTAGGATAGGCTGGCCCCAAGGCAGAAATGGTATGATGGAAGGGCATGGCCGAGGAATACTGCTCATCTCATGGTAGTCGGGAACTGCAGAGAGAAGGAAGGGGCTGGGGACAGCAATACACCCTTCCAGGTCACATCCCCAGTGATCCACCTCCAACCAGGCCCCCCCCCCAGCACATTTAGCTGCTGAACTCATCAATAGATGAATCCACTGATGAGTGTAATGCCCCATGAGCCAATCACTTTCCAAACACATGAGACTTTAGAGGGTTTATTTTAGATCTAAACTATAATTCTATTCATAAGAGACACTGGAGAGTTGAACTAGATGGGAGTAGTGGAAGTAGAGAAGAGGTTGATCTATCTATCTATCCATCCATCCATCCATCATCTGTTAGGGTTCACTAAAGGAACAGATTTAATATAAAATATATAGAAAGGATTTACCAAGTAGGCCTATAATGTGTGCCTATGGAATCAGGGGTGTAAGAATGCAAAGTCTGCATGCTGGAGAGCTGGAGGATCCAGTTGGACGTCAAAAGCCTGGAGCTCACTGCAGAGTCTGGTGCAAGCTCCATGTCAGAAAGCTGACGGGTCCACATTGGAAGCCTGAAGGAACTGGAGATAGACATCCACAGGCAGTGGTGAAGACAAGAGCTCCTCCAAAGAAGCGAAGGGACGACTTCCTTCTTCTTTCCCTTTTTATTTCATTCAGGCTGCAGTCCTATTGGCTGGTGCTGTTCACATTCAGGTTGAGTTTTCCCTCTTCAGTTTGCAGCCTACATGTCAATCGTTCACAGAAACACCCAGAGCTGTGCTTCCCTAATGCACTCGGCATTTCTTAATCTATTCAAGTGGACTTATCATAATTAACTGTTGTTGTTGCTGTAATTGAACCCAGGGCTTTGTGCATAATAAGCAGACAGTATCACTGAGTGACATCTCCAGTCCTTTGAGATATATTTTCTTTTTTTTTTTGTTTTTTTGAGATAGGGTCTCACTATGTAGTTCAGACTGCTCTGGAGCTCACTGTGTAGCCCAGTATGGTCTCGAACTTGCAGTGATCCTCCTGCCTCAGCCTTCCAAATGGTGGATTACAGGTGTGCACCACCACGCCTGGCCTTTGAGATATATTTTCAAGGGAATATTGATAGAGGTTAAATTTATATTTTCTTTAGTGACAGAGGGATTTTAAAAGAGAAAATCACACTGAGTCACTGAGGGTAGTCTCCTGTGCCACATCTTCTCTCAGAAAAGGTCTTATGGTACTTTTGAATCTGTTTGGGAATCTCACTTAAAAAGTTGAATGCTCTTGGAGTCATAGAGGCTGTTTCTTTCAGAAGGCTGTCATGTGGCACTGAAGGTAGCTTCCCTGCAGGACAGTTGGTGAGCAGCAGTTCTAGGTGATGAACATGGGCAGAGCAGCTCTGGGGGCCAGAAAGCCCTCAGGTCTCTGAGCTGTGGTGCTGGAAGTCACTGGTGTTTGAGTGGGTGTTGGGGCACTACTAATGTATCTGCTGTACTCCCTTCTGGGCTGTGTAAGGACAAAAGTCAACTACAAGATAGTCAGAATTCTTCTTGGACATGTGGGGGGGGCACATTTTCAGAAAGAAGCTCAAAGAAATGATAGGAGATCATGGCAAGTGTCTTTAAAGGGCTGATGGCTGCTGGGCACTCAGATTTGTGAAGTTGGGATGCATTTCACCAGATATGGAGAGACATCTTTCCCTGGCCATACAGAGAGCCAAGACAATATGACAAAACTTCACTCAGAGAATACAGAAGTCAAAAGTAGGGACTGGAAGTGTCACTTAGTGGTAGAGCACTTGCCTAGCATGTCTGTGATCCTGGGTTCAGTTGTAAGCCTTAAAGTCTCACTTTTACTCCGTGGAGCATGAACAGCAAAAAGGCCTCCATGATGCTGAACCCTAAAGCTCAGCGAGGGTCTGGGAGTTTGTTGGACAGCGAGAGTCACCCAGGAAGGGACACCCACGCTAGCTGGTAAAATAGACCTTTATTAATCTGGCCAGATGGCACTCTGAGAACCTGGTAGCTCAGAGAGGCAACTAGCTCAGAGTCAGAGGCTATTTTATAAAGGGCTATCGGGGGAGTTAACACTCGAAACTTACAGGAAGGGGACAAAGGCAAGTGGTCAGTTGATCTGAGCTGGTGGTCATCAATCATGTACTCGACCATTATGTACTGATGGTCAGCAGATCGATTACCCATTGTTTTATAGATTGTGGTGTTCGGAGCATTCAGTTTCAGGCAAACAAGGAGTGGAGTGATTTACTTTGGGTCTCTGTGTTTGTTACAGTTTCTCTCTAGTTTCCCAGAACTACCAAGCAGTTACTTAGTAATTCACAATTAATCATTTCTTAACCTATAAGGGGGTGAACAACAGTCTCTGGGTCATTTGCTGGTCAACATGGAGTCACTGTAGTTCAGTCAGGTCTCACACAGTCTCTGGCACTAACAACAAAAAACCAGTTGTAGGTTGTATACTAGGTTGAACAAGATGTCTGTGTACTGTTGCTGCAACAAGAGAATTGGAGTCTGGATAAGCTCCAGACCAGGTTCAAAGGTAGCCCCAGGAAGATGCCAAACCTATCCCCAGCAAGCTTCAGGGCTACTGTATTTGTCAGCTTTTCCATTGCTGGGACATAATACTTAACAGTCAAAACTTAAAGGAGTGGTTTAATCTGGTTTATGGTTTCAGGGGATTTAGTTCATGGCCGGCAGACTCTAAGGCAGACACATCATGGCAGATGGATATGGTATAGCAAAGGTACTTAATTCATCGTTTCTGGGAAGTAGAGCAGGGGAGCAGACCCAGAGAGAAAGGAGTGAGGGATCAGATACATTGTACCCAAGATCGTGCCTCCATGGCCTACCTAGAAACACCCAAAAGTGTGCTCTACCATTTCCTTGGGTGGCTCCCAAGTCAATCAAACTGACACAATCAAGTTTAAGATTGTTAGATAAATCTGAGGCCAAAGACCATTAGAGGCTGGAGTAAGCCATGAGAACTGGTTTTCGTAGCTGTAAAATTAG